GTTTGTATTGGACCACCTCTATTTTTAAAAGCGGATTTTTGACTAATCTATTAATCACTAGAGATTATCATAAAAATTTGAATTAAATCACCAATAGAAGAATAGAAAAAAAGAGAGGGATTAACATAGCTTTCTTTGTATGAACAAATAAAGACCTAATTTCCATCATGCGGTCATGTTTCTTGCCAAGAAAAAGAAAAAAACGCGTTAAGTTTGGTTGTTGTGGCTGTGAGATCAACAACCCGTTCACACCGGTTGACTCGTGAGGCAGGGGCACAACACAATGCCACGTTTTGGCTGATCAGCCAATTATTAGTGTGAACCTTTGTAGCCTTTACTTGTGTCCTTTTTCTCCCCCCAAAAGTCTGGCTGCTTTGCTTTTTGTCTCCCAAACTAGTGGCATTCAATCTTTCATTAGCATATACATAGAACGGGTGAGAATTCTCTGGTGTTGGAAAATCAACAATAGAGGTGATGTTGATTAAAACAAGTCGTTTCGTATCAAAATAATATCATTTAAATCAACAACAGAGATATTATTGATTAAAACAACATTGTTTTGTTAAATATAACAACATTATTTTAATGCAAAATCAATAACAGATGTGTTGTTAAATAAAACAACATCGTTTTGCATCAAAATGACGTTATTTTGTTAAATAGAACAATATTATTTCAGTGTAAAATGACGTCGTTTTAATCAACAATACCTCTTTTGTTAAATTAACAATAGATGAGCTGGATCCTACATAGTACTCACTACAATAAGTCACTTTGAAGTTTTTTTCCTTTTTTCAAACCAGTTTTACTAGAAAAGTTTCCGATAACTTTAATATCAAACTAAAAGTAAAATTATGATTCAATGAGATCAAAATTTTAGTATCGATGTCAATATAAACTTTTTTGAGTCATAACTTGATTTCATTATATCGTCACTTTCAGAACACTTATGAATGAATGCAAACAATTGAAATGCAAAGTTTATCACAAAACCTCGCAGTTGAAGGTTGTCTTAAAAGGGTTCATATCCCTACAGTTGAAAGTTGTACCTCCTCAGAAAAATGTAAGTTTTTTGTAGAGTGGTATTCCAGTGTTAAAGACAGCCTTTGCTATAAACATGAAAAGTATAATTGAGAAGAGTTCACATACATACATAGACATGAAGCAAATAAATACAGAACTACCAAAAGAAAGAAAGTATAGTTTTCGGTCATTGCAAGACTCTTTTAGCTTGAGCCATGACCAAATTCTTGAAAATTTCAACATCCCACCTCACAAACTTATTTTACTTTTCACTTGTCACTTTACATTGGTGACTACAAACTTTTAACAATGAGCTAGGCAATGTCATCTGTAAAGCATACTGAAAACAACAGGCTTTGTGGCTCGACGGAATATGGGGGATAAAGGTCCCGGATTGGAGAATTTTTTTTTTCTCATGAAAGAAAGGGTGAGGACAAGGAAGAACGTTGAGTGACCACTATGTTAGACCCTCACAGATGGGATTATAAAACTCCAGATCACGCTTGGAATATCTCTCGAGATCAGGCCTAACTAAATTAGTATAGTGGCCAACTTCTAAGCCCTAATAAGGACACCAAGATTCGAACTCCTAATCTCTTAGTGAGAAGTAAGACCAGTATTATTACTAAACCACCCTACTCGGTGATTGCAAAAAATTAATCTATGGGCTTACATTTCCCATGTTTTTTAAAGTTTTTTTAAATGTGGATTTGAAATTTGGGCCCACACATCCAACACTAGAACAAGGACCAAAAAGTCCCATTCTAAATTTATAAAACAAGCAATGACAAGCCACACATTGTTTTTAGGTGAAAACAAATACATCTTCCATAATGCACCCAACATCAATCCAATAACACACAAGAACTATCTAAGAGATGGTCTCAAAGACTTATTCCACCACAAGGTCCCTATGTATATAGAGCGACCATACCATAGCTATATAGAACGACCACAGAGAAGCCGATTATAGTCAAAGATCACCCATCTTCCTCGCACAGATGATACAATCATCTAATATATTCTGTGTATCGCACTTATACACAAAACCCTTCTGTTTCAGCTTTGTTGAGCCCCATTCAATTTCCCTTCTTGGACCATTCAAATGCCTGAAACAAAATTTCAATGTGCGGTCAGCATAACAATATTGAATGGCATCATTTATCAAATTAAAAAAGGTAAATGATATATACACCCTAAAATTTGTCACTAAATCAAAAAAACCCTTCAAATTTGGCAAATTAAAACAATGTTATTCCAAATATTAAAATATCTCACATAATTACCCGTAGGGAGAGGTAGGCTTCTTGCGCGAGAGCAAAGACAGAGTTGGAGAACTGCTCGTGAGAGAGCTATACCTTTTGAGACCTAGCTTTTGGCGACCCATGAGAGGGTCTTTAAGCTTAAGGTATAAGCTGTCTGTTTGAGAACAACGTAAAGACCAAGTTTTTGGCGACCCGTGAAAGAGCCGCTCAGCTGGAGATATAGGGTGTCTGTTTAAGAACAGTGCAGAGGCCAAGTTTTTGGAGACTCGCGAGAGAGTCGCTAACCTGGATATTGAGACTGCCTATTTAAGAACAGTGTTAAAGCCAATCTTTTGGCGACCCGTGAGAGAGTCGCTAAGCTTGATATTAAGGCTGTCTATTTGAGAACAGCACAGAGGCCAAACTTTTGAAAACCCGTAAAAGAGTCGCTAAGTTGGATATTGAGGCTGCCTGTTTGAGAATAGTGCAGAGGTAGACCAAGCTTTTGGTGACCTGTAAGAGAGTTTCTAAGCTGGATACTGAGGCTGCCTGTTTAAGAACAGGGTAGAGGCAGGTCAAGCTATTAGAGATCCGCAAGATGATTCACCTTGCCTGGACCTATTGATTTTCTCAGCATTCATATATTTTTGAGTTGTTGCCAATAGTTCTAGCATGCTCTTTGGTGGTCGTTTCATTATTGAAAAAAAGAATCTGGATGAGTGGAGGTCTCCTAGAAAGGTGGTCATGGTGACTTTTGTCATTGGGCTCCTCGATTTAGAGGACCATCTCATTAAAATGAGTGAGGTAACTCCTCAGACTCTCGTCTCGATCCTGTTTTATGTTGAGTAGATGGGTAGCAGGCTTTTGTTGGTGGCGTCCACCAATGAACTGTGCCACAAATGATTTACTCAATTCCGTGAAGGAGCCAATAGAGGCCGGGGGTGAGTTTGGCAAACCATTGTCGCGCTGATCCCTTCAAGGTAATTGAGAATACCCTACACATAATTTTGTCAGGGACGTTATGCAGTTGTATTAAGGACTTGTAGGTTTCGAGATGATCAAGTGGATCCTTCGTTCAGTCAAAAGTCTCTACGGATGACATTTTAAACTTTTGAGGGAGGGGATAGTTCGCCACGTCAGGTTTGGACGGCGTGTCTGTTTGCCTTACTAGGTAGTCCACTGTCTCGGGTCCCTGCGCCTTCATGGCATTGAAGACGTCATCCAGTTGATTTTCACTTCCTTTATTTTCTCGTCCTAGTGATTGGGGGCTCCTCTGAAATGTTCATGGAAATGACTATTAAGTTCCATGCTTTGATTTTCGCCCTCATCTTCTTGGAGATGAAGATTTTCACCATGGGAAATAAGAGGAGGTGGAGGTTTCTCATGAGGGGCTCCTCTGTGTGGGGCGCCCAAGGGGATTCCAAAGGGGGCGCCCAGACTTGCATGGGCGCCCAAATGGGGATCAACAAGTTATGGAGCTCCTTGATGTCCAGAGCATGCAGCTCCTTGATGTCCAAGGCGTGGATCTCCTTGGGGTCCTTCATGTTGTGCACCTCCAAGTTGTGCTCCTCCTTATCCAGCGAGCATGAGTTGCAGTATCTACTGGTTTTAAGCTACTAGTTGCCGCATGGTCTCTAGCATTTGTTGTGGATTTGGAGCTGGAGCATTTGGGATAGAGTTGGTAGGTGGAGGAGTAACCTCCTCCTCTCGTAGAGGATTGTCTTCAGGTTGGTTCATGGATCTGGTAGTCAACGTCATTGGTTCAGCAAATGGAATGTTTAGGAGTGAGAATTTTGTCGTTTCCTACAGACGGCGCCAAACTAATGATGCACAAAATAATTTTTGCACACCACTTGTCAAGTGTGAATAATAAATGCAAGAAAATAATATTAGGAGATGGAGAGACACAAACAATTTATAGTGGTTCTGTTAGCTCGACCTACGTCCACTCTTCAATGACTTTGGTTGCTGAGTATTTTATTAACTCAAGGGTGTGGGGAACAGAGAGTACAAGCTTTGAGGGAGATGAGAGAGTCGTGCTCAGGTAAAGTGTGATCTGTCCCCCAAGTGTTAGTGGGGCTTATAATTGATAGTCGCCCTCCTAACAGATTTGGACAAGATATTATAAGTAATTGACTAGTTTGTTGGATCTAGCGAGCTCTTCTCAACTTGCTAGGCAGTTGCGGTGCTTTCCATGATATTCGGTCAAAGGATGAGGTAGGGTATTGACCATCTCCAAGACAACGAGGATAAGACTTTGGATGATCTTACTTGCTCCTTTAGCTCCTTGAGTTGCTGAGCTTGACCAAGTTGACCATACTGATGAGCTTGACCAGATTGATCACACTGGACTAGATTCGTTGGATCTCTTGAAATCGGACTATAAACTTAAACTGAACTTATAACATAAGTTGGGACTTTGGGCTTGCCCATCAATGTTGAATGCCCATCACTTCATTTTGATACAAAACAACTACTAAAGTAGTTGGGTCCCCCTCCCCCCAGCCTCTTTGATAGGCTGTTATTCTTTTGCATTTTTGTGATTCACCTATTTCACCCAACTTCTTCATGCAATAATGGGAGTAACGTAGGAAAAAGTAGCAAAGAAAACTCCAAATTCATCTTACAATTATATCCAAACACAATACAACCATGTTTATGCAATAGCAAAGTCAGAAAGTGTGTGTGTGTGTGTGTGTGGATGAGAGAGAAAGAGAGGACATATTTGAAGAACTATTTAAGTACTGATCTTATCTTATGCTTCCGTTTGAAAGCCAAATCAGAAAGTTCTTTTATAGAAGACCCGTCTTCGCTAAGCTCCTTTGCAGCTGCATCCTGTAGGTCTGTCATTCGGTTGCGAAGCTCCTTTCCTTCTTCTCCTTCCATTAGACCCTTCACAACCTTTGCGATTTCAAGCCGCCCCACGACACCATTTTCACCAACTTTTGGCCTCAATGCCACTTTCATGTCATCGGTTAGCATTACTGCGTTCATCTTTTGCTCTTCATATAATGGCCAAGCAATCAAAGGTATGCCATTGACCACACTCTCAAGCGTTGAGTTCCAACCGCAGTGAGTCAAGAATCCACCGGTCGAGCCATGACCCAAGATTTGGACTTGTGGTGCCCAAGAGGGTACCACGAGACCAAGCCCTTTGGTTCTACCAATGAACCCTTTTGGTAAAAATTCAAAAGCGTGGTCCTCTTGACCATGGGAATTGAAGAATGTGGCATTGGCAGCTCTATCATTTGGACTTCTAACAACCCATAAAAATCTCTGCTCACTCATTTCTAACCCTAATGCAAGTTCTTGTAGCTGATCATATGAGAGGGTCCCACCACTCCCAAATGAAATGAACAACACAGAGTCACTTGGCTGATCATCCAACCATCTCAAACAACCTGACCCATCACTCTCCCTACTTGAATTAATTTGTATGACCGGGCCAATAGGATAAACAGCCGGCTTACCCGGTTCTTGTAAAGCTTTTATAGCTCGTGGCTCCAATTCCTTGAAGCTATTTAGTATAATACCCTCTGCCAGTTTAAAACCATTTGCGAGGTGAAGAATCCATTTGTATGCTTCATTCTTTCTGTCTTGAACCATATCCAATAGGTCCCTTCCATGAACCGGAATGCAACCCGGAAGTTGAACCGGTTCAGGATGATCTCTATACTCACATGACACAGTCTCATCAAGCTTTGGCAAATGAAAGAACAATGACAAACTCATGGTCGTGGATGGGAAGAAAATATATGGGGAGACCTTGAATTCAATGGCTACATCAAATGCATCAGTACCAAAAAGATCAACAACAAGAGCAACTAGCCGAGTAGTGCCCACCAAACTGCTTGAAAACGTCGCGAAGAGAGGGAAGAGAGCGAGTCACTGTGAAATATATCTTTGTTTCAATCCACACATCATCGGGTAGGTCATTGAAATTAACAGGCGGAAGAGTAACGTGGTTTATGCCATTTGGAAGAGATTTGAGAAGTGTTTTATGGGATTTGGAGAGAGGTCCGTCGGTTGGGACGATGAGAGTTACGGTAAAGTTGTGTTGAATGATGAGCCGCTTGGCGAGCTCGACGAATGGGATGAGGTGACCCATCCCAGGAGATGGTAGCATGGCTACGTGGGGTGTTTGTTCCATGGTACCAAATGTTGATGGTTTAAGTCTTGGAGTTTGTTTTAAGATTTGGTAGTTGGTGGATGTGTTAATTTTAGATTTGGTCTGCAGAGGTATTCCAAATGCAATCAGGAACCTTAAGATTTCACCGGTGAAGGCCTAACAGAATGATCGCTGGACACTCTTCTTTTCTCCCATACCTTTTTTCACCAGAATAAAAAGGTCCTCTCACATCCCCCACCCAACCATATATATTGCGTAAAAAACACATAAACGTTCAATAAAACAAATTCTATTGTTATCAACTTAATTAAAGGTAGCAGAATTACTCACAAGCATTGCTACAAACTTATACTAAAAGCCTAGGATATGGCTAAGTTTCATTTGTAGTCGTAGATTATATTTTACACCATCATGGTTTTTTCATGAATTAAAAATAAGCATATCCTTGTAATGGTAAAAAGCAATTAAAATAACTTATTTTGCAAGGATTCATTTTAATATTTGATACAAATTAATAAAAAAAATAATAATTTATTCATATAATTGTAGTTAAATATGTTAATTGTACTTAAAACTAAACAGTTCATTTTTAATGCTATAGTTCATATTATTTGTGGGCTTGTAACGCAAAAATAGTCAACTTGAGTTTGACGGACCCGGCTCAAACCAGACCCATCTCAGAGGCCCAGGTTGCAGGTGCAACCCAGCCCAAACCAAGCTCATCATCTTGAAAAATTTAGTCTATTAGTAACGCACGTGAGATCTTTATTTTAGGAAGAGAATTAGGCTACACATTGCAAGCTTCAACCACCTCATACATTATGCTAACATCACGAAATCAGTTATTCCTATCACAAGAGTGACACCTTAATTAGGCTCCCTGCAATGGTGCCTCCATCAAAACCCATTTTGGGGCACCATAAAGACTGTAATCTCTTATAAATTATAAGTCTCACCTACACATGGGGGACATTACACACATCTCTGAACACTACACCTCTCAAGTAAAAAGATTCTCTAGCCACTGTCGTCATTTTCAATAGAATAGGTACAGTCTTAATATTTGTATTTACTTGTGTTGAGCTCTCTTTGATAATGTAAGCATATGTATTATGTATGCAACATAAAATAGATTAAACAAGAACAGTTTTTCTAGATAAAAGTGGAACATGTGTCGGTAAAATGCTTTTACTAGAAAATTATTTTGTCGGTTGTTGGAGGATGCCCACCGATGAAAACTTGCATTTACTTATAAAATTCGATTTCGTATGTGACAATTGAACTCCAATGATTTGCATGCCGAATATTAAAATGGTGGAACTGTACACTGGTGGTTGATCCATCTGACTCAGACGATACATGTAAGTGAAACTTCATTGCTATTCTACAGTAATTTGGGACTTTACTACCCATGTAATGTGGCTTCTATCTTATTTTTCATCTTACATAATTTTTTACGATTATGTAGTATAATGCGGAACGTGTTTTGTGAATACACTTTTTTTTAAAAAAATTATCATAATTTTGCGAAGAAGTTGAAAGTCGCCATCTTGTGAGAAAAAATAAAATAAAACATTACGCTAGTTATGATATTCCAAATAAAATGTTGTCATGTCATTCGAGTTTTAAATTTGATCTCAAAATTTAGTCAATGTAGCATTATTGAAATTAATAACCAATTCTCTATCTAGGCGAAAAACAATTCACTCATTCTCCATATAAGCAAATAACTATTTAAGTGGAGTTCACATGATGCACTTTGTATTTTATTATTGGTTGGTACAAATATTTGAATTTTTAAATTTAGTTTTTCAGGGTATTTTTGGTATTTCACAAATTATTATTGATAACATCAATTTTATCCGTAAACCATTCTAACATATGTTAGTTGGAGGGGTGTGGTTATTATAAGTTTTAAATGTCTAAGGAGTTTCGTGTAATTGTTAAAATGTGAGAGGGTGTCTGTGTAATAAAACCAAATATCATGAGTATAATTTATCATTTTTGTTATTACTTTGTGCCTTCAGACACAAATAATAACTACTGTATCATAAAATAGGAAGGAAGTTAAATCATACAAATATAGCTACATAAAGTGGGGCCTGATTATTTTAATTAATCTAATAGTATAAAATCACTCCCCACAAATCCCCCCCCCCATTTCACTGTTAAAGAGTTTTGATACCACCGTTACATTTAATATTTACTCCCCCAAGTGATGCTACGTTTTGGCAACCATCTTTTAAGAAGAAATGATTCAATATTAAATGGATTTAAGTACGTTGGGTTTGCAATCAGTCTTCTCCATCTTGTATACGAATCTTTAAATCCATTTAGAAAAAGACCAATGTTGAACTCTATCTATTATTAGGATTCATTGTCAATTCAACTAATTTATGTAGTATAGTAACAATATGCTAAGTGAGATCAAGCAATCTTGGTTATTGATGTATGCTTATTAAGGCATGTTTTAAGCTTTATCGTAATATCTTTATTTTTAAAATAATATTTATTTACGTACGAAAAAAAACAAAAACAATATGCTAAATCAAAAAATTAAATCCCAAAACTTTGGAGTTGTTGTGTCCTCCCACCTTTTTCATAGTTGCTGTTCTGATGCATTTTTATGGTTACACCTGTATATCACCTACTTCTTCATATTACAATAGATTAAAGATAGGAAGAGGAGCATATAAAAAAGGATTTCCATGAACAACAAAACTCAATTTTCAATATCCAAAGTCAAAACAACCATATTCATGGAATAACAAAATCAGAGAGAAAGAGAGAGAAGTTCGAATACTAATCTAAGGACTAATCTTATTCTTCCACTTGCAAGCCAATTCAGCAAGTGCTTTCGGGGAAGACCCTTCTCCACTAAGCGCCTTTGCAGCTGCATCTTTTAGGTCTTCATTCGGTTGCGTAAACCCTTCCCTTCTGCTCCTTCCATTAGACCCGTCACAACCTTTGCAATTTCAAGTCGTCCCACAATACCATTTTCATCAATTTTTGGTCTCAAAGCCACTTTCATATCATCAGTCAGCATCACAGCATTCATCTTCTGCTCTGCGTATAGTGGCCAAGCAATCAATGGGATTCCACTTACCACACTTTCAAGTGTCGAATTCCAACCACAGTGGGTTAAAAATCCACCGGTTGAGCCATGGCTCAGGATTTGGGCTTGTGGTGCCCAAGAGGGCACTACGAGCCCCCGCCCTTTGGTTCTATCAATGAACCCTTTTGGTAGAAAATCAAAAGGGTCGTCTTGGCCATGGGCATTGAAGAATGTAGCATTGGCAGCCCCTTCATTTGGACTCCTAACAACCCATAAAAATCTATGCTCACTCAATTCCAACCCTAGTGCAAGTTCATGGAGCTGATCATATGAGAGGGTCCCAACACTTCCAAAGGAGATGAACAATACAGAGTTACTCGGCTGATCATCTAACCATCTTAAACAACCTGACCCATCAGTCTCCCTACTTGAACCCATTTGTATAAGCGGTCCAATAGGGTAAACCGGCGGCTTACCCGGTTCTTCCACTTGCAAAGCTTCAATGGCTCCTGGCTCCACGTCCTTGAAGCTATTCAGTATGATACCCTCAGCCAGTCTATACCCCTTTGCGTGATGAAGAAACCATTTGTATGAATCATTCTTTCTGTCTTGAACCGGGTCCAGCAGGTCCCTTCCATGAATCGGTACGCAACCGGGAAGTTTAACCGGTTCAGGTAGGTCTCTGTATTCGCATGACACAGTCTCATCAAGCTTAGGCAAATAAAAGGCGAATAGCATTGCCATAGCCGTTGATGGGAAGAAAAGAAATGGAGAGACCTTGAATTCCTTGGCAATATCAAATGCATCAGTACTAAAAAGATCAGCAACAAGAGCAACTAACCGAGTCGTCGCAGTTAACTGTTTAAGAACGTTGCGAACAGAGGGAACAGAGCGATTCACTATGAGCTTTACCTTCGTTTCAACTTTAATATCATCGTTTAGATCATCGAAGTTAACAGGTGGGAGAGTAATGTAGTTTATGCCATTTGGAAGAGCTTCGAGGAATGTGTTCTGGGCTTTGGACAGAGGTCCGTCGTTTGGGATGACGAGAGTTATGGTGAAATAGTTGTGTTGAAGGATGAACCGCTTAGCAAATTCAACGATTGGGATGAGGTGACCCATCCCAGGGGATGGTATCATTGCTATGTGTGGTGTTTGTTCCATGGTGGCTAAACTTTTTGTTTGTTTTGTGGGTAGGAGCTAGGAAGCTGAATGAATGTGTGTGTGTGTGAGAGAGAGAGAGAGAGAGAGAGAGAGAGAGAGAGAGAGAGAGAGAGCGCTTGGTGGTGTTGAGGATTAAAGGTGAATGAGAATAGGGCACAGGGCTTAGTATATATAGGGGTTTTGGATTTGTTTCTACGTGGTTGAAGATGAGAAGTGAGAACTTTCTTTTGTTTGTTGTTCTATAAGGTTTTAGGCATTACTTCTTAATGATTGAAGACTGTCTGTGTATTTGTTTGTATATTTAGCTAGGTAAGTGTGTGCGCAGACATTGGTGACGTCATTACATTCGCAAGTCTTATGTCACTAACATTATGAGAGGTTTTGACCCATTTCGGGGGATTTAAAAAAAAATATCCAAAATAATAATTTGACGTTTTTATATTAAAGATATCAAATGAACCGACATTTTTAACACAAAAATTGTATTCCACATTCAACTTAGACACATCAAATAAATTGATGTTTCTATTTAAACACGTTAAATCATTTGACGTATTTAAATTGAATGGCCCAACTTTCCCTTTAACTATTCAATGCCTGACTTTTCCTTTAACTATTAAATGTCTTTTTATATTTGTAAGAACAGCACCCTATGAAAGACCAAGTCCTAAAATTTATGAAATTATGAAATGTTAGTAAGCAAACAAACATAAATAAATTAATGTTTGTTTGCGTAATTATCATAACTGTTCCCTAAATTTTGTCTTGGATTTTAATATAGTCCTTAAAATTTTAATTATTTTATTTCAATTAAATCATTTCGTAATACCTAAAAAAATTTTAATGATAGGTTTTCTATCTTTTTTTTTCTGAGTAAAATATTATATGTTTATTTAATAAAACAATTATGATATTTTAAAAATACATAATTTCGTTTGTCCTACTGATGTTATTCTCCCTAACAATGATACATAAATACGTAAAACTGTTTTATTCCCTATCTCTTTGAGAGGATGAGTTTTTGTTATTTATTTAAAAATTTAATTACATTCAATAAATAAGTTTTGATAATTTAAAAATACATAAATTTTTTTGTCTTACTAACATTTTTCTGCGTAACAATAATACTTAAAAATGGTTTGCTCCCTTTGTTTTGTGAGAGGATGAGTTATTTATTTATTTATTTAAAAAATTAATTACATTCAATAAATAAATTTTGATAAATTAAAAATACTTATATTTTTTAGCATATCAAATTTTAAAAATTGAAGGTGTATACATATAATTAAATTTAAAGCCCCATACAAACCATAAGTGTTACACCCAATACTTTTTGGTCTAGAAGGTATCACTTGTTTGTATGGGGCCTTCTAGACCAAAAAGTATTGGGTGTAACACTTACGGTTTGTATAGGGCTTTAAATTTAATTATATGTATACATCTTTAATTTTTAAAATTTGATATGCTAAAAAATATAAGTATTTTTAATTTATCAAAATTTATTTATTGAATATAATTAATTTTTTAAATAAATAAATAAAAACTCATCCTCTCACCAAAAAAAGGGAGTAAAACATTTTTAAGTATTATTGTTATGGAGAAAAATGTTAATAGGAAAAAAAAAATTTATGTTTTTTAAATTATCAAAATTTATTTATTAAATGTAATTATATTTTTAAATAAATAACAAAAACTCATCCTCTCAAAGAGATAGGGCAAAACAGTTTTACGTATTTATGTAACATTGTTAGGGAGAATAACATCAGTAAAACAAACGAAATTTATGTATTTTTAAAATATCATAATTTTTTTATTAAATAAACATTTAACATTTTACTCAGAAAAAAATTGCAGAAAACCTATCATTAAATATTTTTTTTAGGTATTACGAAATGACTTAATTGAAATAAAATAATTAAAATTTTAAAGACTAAATTAAAATCCAAGACAAAATTTAAGGGGACAATTATGATAATTACACAAATAAATATTAATTTATTTATGTTTGTTTGCACACTAACATTTCATAGATTTTGAGACTTGGTCTTTCTCAGGGTGTTGTACTTACAAATATAAAAAGGCATTGAATAATTAAAGGGAAAGTAGGCGTTGAATAGTTAAAGGAAAAGTCAAGTCATTCAATTTAAACACGTCAAACAGTAGAAACGTCAGTCCGTTTGATGCGTTTAAGGTGAATATAAGCAATAGTTTTGTGTTAAAGACATCAGTCCATTTGACGTTTTTAAAAACAATGTGAATTTGAAAATTACTTAAACCAACTGTTATTTGGAATATTTTTTTTAAAACCCCATGGAATGGGTCAAAACCTCAATATTATGAAGTTGGTCTTGTAAAGTAAAAGAGCAATACAACATAATTTAATGACACTATTATATTACTATAAATTTGATAGTTACAATGCATAGAATTCAAACAGTATTATTATGAATGCCAATTGTTTCTATGAGGTAAGGTTATGACCGTTGAAAAACCTACTTGCATGAAGTTGATTAGACTAATGTTTGGGCCTGTCATGAAAAAAAAAAATTGAAATGTGGTGAGCGGTGGCTGAGTCGCTTGTTTAATTATTATTATTATTATTATTAATCATAAAATAGCAAGTGTTGATGGATCCAAATAACCCCTCAAATAATTCACCATAAGTAGTCTAAATATTTATTATAATAAGGGATGTTTAAATACTCACACATATGACGTCATGTTGGACTATAACATACTATCGTGTTGCTCTTTGCTTTTCCAACTTTGTTTTTTAAATGATTGTGTCCAAATAACCCCTCAACTAATCCACCATAATTAGTCTAAATATTTATTATAATAAGGGATGTTTAAATACTCACACATATGATGTCGTGTTGGACTATAACATAGTGCAACGGATCTACGTCTTTAATTTAATTAATGCTGCATAGATTAAAACAATACTATGTATTGGTTGTTTGTACATATGTATGATATCATTGGGCAAATCATTTGCATATATACAAAGAGAGCAATCATATTAAAACTCCTTTATAATTAGTATACTTACATAAGTTTTTTATATCTATATGAAAAGTAGAAACGAATTTATATTATAATATTTTATATATATAGTTATCATATTAGATTCTAAGATCAAATATATGTTATATGTAATTTTTTTTAATAATTAGGTTCAACAAGAAATGAAATATAGATTAATTTTTTGATACCAAATTTGTCATTTAATTTAATTACACATAAAATTTATATTTTCATAGATTTAACAAAAAGATTATTATTTAAATTGTTCACATGTAACGCATGTCGTGCATTACTAATACATATAAATGAAATTTTGTTGTTATTTTACAGTAATTTTGGAACTTCATTACCCATGTAATATTGTGGTTTCTCTCTTATTATGATTCATTGCCAATTCAACTAATTGTGGATAGTAACAATATACATTATATGCTAAATGTCAAAACTCTCGAGTTGTTTTTAAACAATCATCTATTTAAAAAGTTGAGATTCAAACATAAGACCTACTGTTCTTATTCTATGTTAAACAATCACCTATTCTAAAAGTTCAAACTATTAAAAAAAGACGTAATATAAGTATTTATCTAATAGTTGTGTCCTCCCACCTTTTTGAGTTGTTCAAACATAAGACCTACTGTTCTGATTCTACGTTAAACAATAACCTATTCTAACAGTTCAAACTATTAAAAAAAGACGTAATATAAGTATTTATGTAATAGTTGTGTCCCCCCACCTTTTTTAGCTGATGCATTTTTATGGCTACACCTATATTTCACCTACTTCTTCATATTACAATGGATTTAAGATAGGAAAAAGGAGCATATAGAAAAGAATTGCCATGAACAACAAAACTCAATTTTCAATATCAAAAGACAAAACAACCATGTTCAGGTAATAACAAAAGCAGAGAGAGAGAGAGAGAGAGAGAGAAAGTTTAAACAGTAATCTAAGTACTAATCTTATGCTTCCACTTGAGAGCCAATTCACCAATTGCTTTTGTAGAAGACCCGTCTTGACTAAGCGCCTTTGCAGCTACATCCTTTAGGTCTCTCATTCGGTTGCGTACACCTTTCCCTTCTTCTCCCTTCCTTAGACCCTTCTCAACCTTTGCAATTTCCAGCCGCCCCACCACACCATTTTCATCAATTTTTGGTCTCAATGCCCCATTTATGTCCTCAGTCAGCATCACAGCATTCATCTTCTGCTCGGCATATAATGGCCAAGCAATCAATGAAATGTCATTGACTACACTCTCAAGTGTTGAGTTCCAACTGCAGTCGGTTAGGAACCCACCGGTCGAGCGCCCATGCCCTTTGGTCCTATATCAATGAACCCTTTTAGTAAAAATTCAAAAGGGTTGTCTTGGCCATGGGCATTGAAAAATTTGGCATTGGCAACTACGTCCTTTGGACTTCTAACAACTCATAAAAATCTCTGCTCGCTCATTTCTAATCCTAATGCAAGTTCATGGAGCTGGTCATATGAGAGGGTCCCACCACTTCCGAAGGAGATAAACAAGGCAGAGTCACTTGGCTGATCATACAACCAGCTCTAACAACCCGACCCATCACTCTCCCTTCTTGAACCCAGTTGTATGAGCGGTCCAATAGGGTAAACCGGCGGCTTACCCGGTTCTTCATCTTGCAAAGCCGTTATTGTAAAACTATTTAATTTGATCAAACAATAATTAAATTCTAATTCCAAGATCTAGAACAATCATAATTTTCACATACTCATATTACAGAATAAAAATATCATAATTTACATATCTGAAGCCATTAATGTAAACCTTTTAATTTCTTGATCAACAAGAACAATATTTTGGTATAGCCTGAAAACACAGTACGTAAAATACAAAAATCAATGGGGCATATGTATATTTGTAAGTAGAGTGAGGACTAATTTTTTAGATTAACATGAACTTCACTTCCCATCAAAGTAGGATATTAGAAAACTACTACTTCTCATGACCAATCAAAAAACATTAGTTATACCGATTAGATTAGGATTGGTAACATTATCATTATCTAACCCAAATTAATTATCTGATAAAAATCAGTAAAATCACATGTGCCAAATCAGGTGTGCCACATTAATTCTTACATTCTCCCACTTGGTCCATATGATTATCTTATAATTAGGTTTAGTAAGGTTTACATAAGCGCGCAATAAATCCAATTCATCACTACCTTAATTTAATCATCATAATATCACAATTAAACAATCCACTAATGCGAGTCATGGTGGCTATATATCATTAACGCGACATAGTCCCTTTCATATACTACAACACTAGCAATCTGTCTAACGTGATTTATAGATTTAGAAGTGTATATAATAAAATCCAACAATAATGTCTTGTGCCAAAGGCTATTCTAGTTTTCATTCAATCAATCTCATACATGTCCGTACATTGAAAAACAAAAAATGTCGTAAACAGTTCGAATAAGAATTAAAAGTGTCAAATAATTAATCATTATACAATATGCACAACATTAAGTAAACAACCATCATGAGCTACAATCAAGACTTATTATATTAACATTTTTAAATGTCTTTAGTAGTACTTTCTTTCATGGATTTACAACCATGAGTTCCATGCTATTATGCTCTATAGACCATTGGTGCCTTTTACCCTTCAATATTAAATGGATTTAAGTACGTTGAGTTTGCAATCAGTCTTCTCCATCTTGTATACGAATCTTTAAATCCATTTAGAAAAAGACCAATAATGAACTCTATCTATTATTAGGATTCATTGTCAATTCAACTAATTTAAGTAGTATAGTAACAATATTCTAAGTGAGATCAAGCAATCTTAGTTATTGATGTGAGCTTATTAAGGCATGTTTTGAGTTTCATCGTAATATCTTTAAAAAAAAATACGCTAAATCTCAAAATTAAATCCCACAACTTTGGAGTTGTGTCCTCCTACCTTTTTCATAGTTGCTGTTCTGATGCATTTTTATGGTTACACCTATATATATATCACCTACTTCTTCATATTACAATGGATTAATTTAAGATAGGAAAAGGAGCATATAAAAAGGATTTCCATGAACAACAAAACTCAATTTTCAATATCCAAAGTCAAAACAACCATGTTCATGCAATAACAAAAGCAGAGAGAGAGAGAGAGAGGAGGAGGAGGAGGAGGAGGGCAAATTCGAATACTAATCTAAGTGCTAATCTTATTCTTCCACTTGCAAGCCAATTCAGCAAGTGCTTTCGTGGAAGACCCTTCTTCACTAAGCGCCTTTGCAGCTGCATCTTTTAGGTCTCTCATTCGGTTGCGTAAACCCTTCCCTTCTTCTCCTTCCATTAGACCCTTCACAACCTTTGCAATTTCAAGTCGTCCCACGATACCATTTTCATCAATTTTTGGTCTCAAAGCCACTTTCATATCATCAGTCAGCATCACAGCATTCATCTTCTGCTCTGCGTATAGTGGCCAAGCAATCAATGGGATTCCACTTACCACACTTTCAAGTATCGAATTCCAACCACAGTGGGTTAAGAATCCACCGGTTGAGCCATGGCTCAGGATTTGGGCTTGTGGTGCCCAAGAGGGCACTACGAGCCCACGCCCTTTGGTTCTATCAATGAACCCTTTTGGTAGAAAATCAAAAGGGTCGTCTTGGCCATGGGCATTGAAGAATGTAGCATTGGCAGCTCCGTCATTTGGACTCCTAACAACCCATAAAAATCTCTGCTCACTCAATTCTAACCCTAATGCAAGTTCATGGAGCTGATTATATGAGAGGGTCCCACCACTTCCAAAGGAGATGAACAAGACAGAGTTACTCGGCTGATCATCTAACCATCTTAAACAACCTGACCCATCAGTCTCCCTACTTGAACCCATTTGTATAAGCGGTCCAATAGGGTAAACCGGCGGCGTACCCGCTTCTTCCTTTTGCAAAGCTTCCGTGGCTCCTGGCTCCACGTCCTTGAAGCTATTCAGTATGATACCCTCAGCCAGTCTATACCCCTTTGCGTAATGAAGAAACCATTTGTATGAATCATTCTTTCTGTCTTGAACCGGGTCCAGCAGGTCCCTTCCATGAATCGGTACGCAACCAGGAAGTTGAACCGGTTCTGGTAGGTCTCTGTACTCGCATGACACTGTCTCATCAAGCTTTGGCAAATAAAAGGCGAATAGCATTGCCATAGCCGTTGATGGGAAGAAAAGAAATGGAGAGATCTTGAATTCCTTGGCAATATCAAATGCATCAGTACTAAAAAGATCAGCAACAAGAGTAACTAACCGAGTCGTTGCAGTTAACTGTTTCAGAACGTTGCGAACAGAGGGAAGAGAGCGATTCACTGTGAGAAATATCTTTGTTTCAACGTTAACATCATCGGTTAGGTCATCGAAGTTAACAGGTGGAAGAGTAATGTAGTTTATGCCATTTGGAAGAGCTTCGAGGAATGTGTTCTGGGCTTTGGACAGAGGTCCGTCGTTTGGGATGATGAGAGTTATGGTGAAATAGTTGTGTTGAAGGATGAACCGCTTAGCAAATTCAACGATTGGGATGAGGTGACCCATCCCAGGGGATGGTAGCATTGCTATGTGGGGTGTTTGTTCCATGGTGGCTAAACTTTTTGTTGGCTTTCTGGGTAGGACCTAGGTAGCTGAATGAATGTGTGTGTGTGTGTGTGAGAGAGAGAGAGCTTGGTGGTGTTGAAGGTTGAAGGTGACTGAGAAAAGGGGACTGGGCTTAAGATATATAGGGGTTTTGGATTTGTTTCAACGTTGGTGAGGATGAGAAATGAGAACTCTGTTTTGTTTGTTTTATAAGTTTTTAGCATTTCCTTCTTGCTGGTTGAAGACTGTCGGTGTATTTGTTTGTATATTTGGCTACGTAAGTGTGTGCGCAGACATGGTGATGTCATTGCATTCGCAAGCCTTATGACCACTAGTATTATGAAGTTGGACTCATAAAGTTTTTTTTTTTATAATCAAAAGTACATATGAATTATATGTCTCATAAGGTCATAACCATATTATTGACTTATTATTTGTTATTGGATTACCACTGAACTTACTATTAATTTAGACAGAGCTATAAATTTGATTGTCACGATGCATTAAACCCAAACAGTATTAATATGAATGCCAATTGTTTCTATGAGATTAGGTTATGACCTTCGGAAAATCTATTTTTAGTGAAGTTAACTAGATTGATGTCTGGGCCAGTCATAAAAAAAAAGCCTGAAATCTGGTGAGTGATTTTTGAGTTGCTCGTTTAATTATTATTATTATTAGCTATAAAATAGCAAGTGTTGAGGGATCCAAATAACCACTCAAATAATCCCCCATAATTAGTCTAAATATTTATTATAATAATGGTCCGTTTGTTTAGCAAGATAATGCTAAAAAATGCAAAAAATAAAAAAATTTAAAATTTTACATGTATTTATTCAGCATGAAATAGAAAATGATAGAAAAAATAATTTTCTTGCACGCTTAAATTTCTCATATCTAACTAAAATTTTTTTCTTGTAAATTTTCAGGATTCGAGTTAATCCTTCTCCCTGAATTAAGTTAGGAACCAAATTTTTTAAAATTTGAATAATAGAAAAAAAATTCTTTAGCCCGAGTTAAAATAATTAATGATAATTTAGACAACTAGAATAAATTTCTTGTGACTTTCTTTTCTTTCAAATAATGTGTTTTACAATTTTCTTAAAAGTCTTTCATGATAACTAAACGCATGCATGAAAATACATTTTTCTTTCACTTTGTTTATTACCCTAACGGGTGTTTAAATACTCACATATATGATGTCGTGTTGGACTATAACATATTATCGTGTTGCTCTTTGCTTTTCCAACTTTCTTTTTTAAAAGATTGTGTCCGTCTCTTCTGCCATGGATCTGCATCTTTAATTAAATTAATGCTGCATAGATTAAACCAGTACTATGTATTGCATGTTTGTACATATGTATGACATTATTGGGCACATCATGTACTTATATACAAAGAAAGCAATCATATTGAACCTTAATTTATTCACCATTAGATATTAAAATTTGATATTAATCTAACAGTTATAATAAAATTATATTATTAGATCAACATATTAGATCAAACTTTTGATATCCTTATTAATGTCATTATTTTTTCTTCCATGACTTATCAAAACTCTTTTTGTTATACAGTATTAGGTCTCTAAACATTCGCTCTACTTAGTCTTTACAGTATTACTGTAAAATAAATATATAGATTAATAACTAGGTTTAATAAAAATTAAAATAAGAATTAACTTTTCAATATATAATTTATTTATTCAATTCAATTGTACATATAATTTATATCTTTTTATAAGTTTAACAAAAAATTATTATTTAAATATGTTCTCGTTATAAAATCAATTTTATCCTTATAATGTAATATAATTTTTATTTTTATAGGTAATTTGACTTTCAAATTTTTTTTAACACTTTAATGAATAGTATTTTTTTAATAATTAGTTTTTTGACACCAAATTTTTCATATAATTTAATTACACATAAAATTTATATTTTTGTAAATTCAACAAAAAAATGTATTATTTAAATTTTTCACATGCAACGCAATGTCGTACATTACTAGTACATATAAATGAAATTTTGTTGCTATTTTACACTAATTTTGGAACTTCATTACCCATATAATATTGTGGTTTCTCTCTTTTTATCCATGTTTTATACAAGTCTTTAAATCCTTGTAGAAAAAGACCAATAATGAACTCTCTCTCTCTCTTATTATGGTTCATTGTCAATTCAACTAATTCACAATAGTAATAATATCTATATAATAAAATAGTTAAATTATTTAAAAAAAATATTAGATTATTTGTGTTGAATTTTTTTCAACTCATATTTTTTGAAGATTATTGATCTGATGATCCTAATTAAATTTTTATTTTTTTTACAATTCTAAGACTCTCATCTTTCATGTAACTCTCTCTCTCTCATATTTCTTTTAAATACACACTATATATATATATATATATATATATATATATATATATATATATATATATGTTTTAAATACACTCTCCCAAACATACACACATTCTCTCTCTATCTCATTCATTCACTTTTGTGAGTGAATGTTATGTGTTAAATGTATATTATTATTTTTAGTGTTCTTTACTTAAAGTTTGTAGCTTCCACATAATTTTATTATTGTTAAATAATATGTGTTAAATGTGTTATTGTTATTTTCGGTACTTCTTTACACATACATTTGTATGATTTTATAGACGAGAAAATATTTAAATGTTAAAAAAATTTTCTCAAGTTGTAGACATTCAAAACCAAGCTAATCACAAAAACCAAAAAAATTCAAAGTCAAGCTAATCACCAATAAAAAAAGGAAAATTTGAAAGTCGGTCCCCCTATATGGACTTAAGTCCGTCAAAAAAACTTATTTGTTATGAAGTCTGTTTTTTGTCAATTTTACCATACTATCCCTTCCTTTAGAAGTGAAATAAAACTAAAAATTAAAAACTCATAAATCTTAAAAGTTTGACTAACATTGAAATATTTTCTCTCTCATATCTATCTATATCAATATATAAGCTAAAAGTTTGACATTAAATTTTTCTCTCTCTTATCTATCTATATCCATATATAGGTTAGGTATCTATAAATAGTAACATTAAAAATAAAAAAAAATAGTAACATTCAAATACAAAAAAAAAGTAACATTTAAATATAAAAAAATTGAAACATTCAATATTAATATTTTTAAAAAATAACAACAGCAACATGTTCAATAAAAATAGTAACATGCTTAACAAAAATTGTAACATATTTAACAATAATTATTTATCTCAAATTCAAACGCAAAAAATAGTACCATTCAAATACAAAAAATATTAATATTAATATTAAAAACAATAGTAACATTGAATATTAATATTTAAGAAAATAATAGTAGTAACATGCTCAATAAAATCATTAACATGAATAATAACATACTCAACAAAAACAGTAATATGAACAGTAATACAATAAAAAAATAGTAACATGAATTTGAATTTTTTTTATTCAAATTCATAATAATTTTCTTTATATATATAAATATATATATATATATATATATATATAAAATAAAACAGGAGTGAGTTTGAATTTTATCCCAATCATATTTTCCCCTCAAAATCATCACCAATCACTTACCTCACCTATCATCCCTTTGTCAGATTCAAACGTCAAATCACATCACTAATTTTTATCATATATTTAATTACTAGAAATAATCCGTGCGTAAAGACATGGTGCAACTAAAAAAAATCAAATATTGAATTTGAATGCGAAATAATCAAGCATTAAACTCGGACACGTACTAAATTGAAAGTCTAAACTCGCCCTACATCACGTGTCAGAAGACACCGTACATAGTTCTTAAACACAAAATAATCAAACAATGAACATAGACATATATTAAACTGAAAATCATTTAGTCATTTTTAATATCATGACTTTAGTAAAATAAAAAGGGTCAACAGTTGTCATCAACTAATACTTTGACAACCTAAATTAAAAAAAAATTAAATTAAATCAGGAATACTCCACGAACATAAAGAAGTCAATCTAACATTGTACACAAACACATTAAGGAGCAAACACATTAAGGTCTGTGTGTGTTTTGTGTGCTGTTGCTGCTGCTGCTGTGTGTGTGGGTGGTGGGTGGGTGGGTGGGTTAGGAGCAAATTTAATCCAAGTCAAGGAGCAAATCAATCTAAGTTGATTGGTAATTTTACTCTTGATCCCCCATAAAAATTACATTGTTTGACAAAATGGCATTATAACATGATTGACGAAATCCATAAAGCATTGTATGATTATAATTCAAAGGTGAAGCCATAATACAACACAAAAGATTTATATATACCGAGGGAGAGAGATAGGAGAAGGGAATGGAATAATACCTTATTCGTGTGCAGCTCAAAATAAAAATTTGGTACTTAAGTCGTTCAACCTGAGAGTCCCTTCAAAAAATGAAGTTACCGAGCATCACTTATATGACAAAGGATTTCAAAGCTACCTTGCAATGACAAACATGCCCCGCATAAATTTAAAAAAAAATTGACAGCAAATTCGGCAAGAAAATGGAGACTGTTACCGATTTTCTAATGGAATGTATAGAACCCAGAATTTCTTCAGTCTCTCTTTGCACTGATTTGACTCCTGTTCAACAGAATGAAAAATAATCTGGAAAAGGTGATACCACCTGTTCAGCAGAATGAAAAATAAACTGGAAAAAATCAAAGATGGCTTCACCATCTATCAAAGATGGCTTCAATCATGAAGCATATCCAAGTCTATCTAAAGCTATCCACTAAATGTAAATAAAACCTACTCAACAGAAATTAATTCAACTGCTAGACTAAGTTAATCAGTGTGTTGATCCTCATATTCCAAAAAACAAAAAAAAAAACAAATAGAACACAACACTGTTAACATAGAACGTAGAAAAAAGTTTTACCCAAACTATTTGGCAATTTTCTTTTTCCTAATTTTCTCCACAATCATTCGGATAAGGACAAAACCCAAAAAGGTTTGAGGAAAAAAAACCCAAAAATTGACAACGTTATAAAGTCCAAAACTCTGAGCACAAACCAGAGATCAAAGAATACTGACAACTACACTCAAGCACATAAGCCCATTCTTGAATCAATCAGAAAATGTAGCTTCTTGGTCACTATACGCATATTTTAAGCTGATCCCAGTAAGAGACAGCGAGAGAGAGAGAGAGAGAGATCTTTTGGGGAATTTTGTCGAACAGTTTATAGGCCATTTTGAGCGTGTGAGAGAGTGAGAGAGTGAAAGAGAGAAGCTGTGCGGGGGTGTGAGAAGAGAGAAGGGGAGAAAGAGATAACTGGAGAGCCTAGGGCTGGGCGCTGTTAGGGGCTGGGCGTTGATGCTCGCGAGAGAGAGAGAGAGAGAGGAGGGGGTGATTAAGGGGAGGGAGGAGGTGGTGATTGAGGGCTGGTTGCCGTTGTTTGGGGAAGTGAGTGAAGAGACCGAGAGAGAAGAGACAGAGAGAAAGAGGACAGGGAGCCGTTGTTCTGTTTGTTGCTATGGAGCCGTTTGTTCTGTGTGTTGGATGTGATGGTTGGGTTGGAATGGGTTGGGTTGAGTTAGTTTTGAGGAGAAAATATAATGGAGATAAAATTTAATTTTTAACCTGTTTTATTATATAGATTTATATATTTATTCCTTAAAAATATCACACCATTCATTTCTATCATATATTTAATTATTTAATATTTAATTAATTTGTAGTTAATATATTTTGAAAAAATTTAATATAGTGGGATCGATTTTTTGGACGCTCAAATTTTATATTTTATCGTGTCTTCAGGCACGGATTATGACTAGTAGATAGATAAGAGAAAAGGAAAATTTTAATATTAGTGAAACTATTAACCTTTATATGGATGTAGATAGATATGAGAGAGAAAAAATTAACTTTCTTTCAAGGAATGATATTTTTGAGATAAAAAAAAAAAAGTGGACTTAAGTCATTACATATAATTTTAAACATGGATTTAATTTCTTATAAGTTTTCTTTCAAGACTTATCTTCAAACAAGTACATCTAAGATGACTCACTTCCAATGTTCACATAAAAAAATAACAAGTAATACTAATTACACAAAAAAAAAAATCAAAACCAAACTAATTACAAATAAAAAAATAACAATGACCAATAAAAAAAAATTAGTGAAACCAATTGCACCAAAAAACAATATTCAAAACCAACTACAAATTTTTTTTTCCAAGTTATAGACATTCAAACCCAAGCTAATCACCAATAAAAAAAAATAACAAAGTCACATATTTGAGTAATTTTATAGAATGAGTAAATATTTGAATGCTAACTTTTTTTTTTTTTTTTTCAGATTGTAGACATTCAAAGTTAAGCTAATCACCAATTAAAAAAACAAGTGAAACAAATTGCAAAAAACAAAAAAAATTCAAATCCAAGTAATCATCGATAATAAAAAAAAGTGAAACCAACTGCACCCAAAAAACAAAATAAATTCAAAGTCAAGCTAATCACCAATAAAAAAATAACAAGTAATATCAATTTGCACAAAAAAAACAAAAAAAAAAAATTCAAAACCAAGTTAGTTACCAATAAAAAAATAACAAGTGATTGAGTTTATAATTATGTTATGTTATTAGGTTGGATGGTAACATTGGTGATAAATTCATGTCTTTGTAAATGAGAAATATTTTATTTATTGCTTAAAATTTGTAAATTTTATTAGGTCCTATTAGTATTTTTTTTCTGAGGTATTTGTCTATGTGATATTATTTTGAGAAATTTTTTTATACATTTTTGTGATAGTTCTATTAATATGAAGGATATAATCGACAGTATATTTCAATTTATTTTAAAAGAATTAATATGAATATTTTTGGTCATTTTCTTTTTCAAATGGGCAATTACTTGTAATTTTTTTATGTGTTATATAGTGTTCTCAGGCACAGGTAATGACTAGTGCATTGTATGATAAATTCCAAAACCCTTGAGTTGTTGAACAACTATCTACTCAAAAAGTTAAAATTTGAACGCAGGATCTCTTATTTTGATATCACGTTAAAAAACCACCTATTTTAAAAGATTAAACTATTAGAAATTATTTATCCAACAGTTGTGTCCTCCAACCTTTTTCAGCTGCTGTTCTGATGCATTTTTATGGCTAGACCTATATTTCACCTACTTCACATTACAATGGATCTAAGATAGGAAAAGAAGCATATAAAAAGGATTTCCATGAACAACAAAACTCAATTTTCAATATCCAAAGTCAAAACAACCATGTTCATGCAATAACAAAAGCATAGAGAGAGAGAGAGGAGGAGGAGGAAGGAAAATTCGAATACTAATCTAAGTACTAATCTTATTCTTCCACTTGCAAGCCAATTCAGCAAGTGCTTTCGTGGAAGACCCTTCTTCACTAAGCGCCTTTGCAGCTGCATCTTTTAGGTCTCTCATTCGGTTGCGTAAACCCTTCCCTTCCTCTCCTTCCATTAGACCCTTCACAACCTTTGCAATTTCAAGCCGCCCCACTACACCAGTTTCATCCATTTTTGGTCTCAAAGCCACTTTTATATCCGCAGCCAGCACCACAACATTCATCTTCTGCTCGGCATATAATGGTCAAGCAATCAATGGAATGCCATTGACTACACCCTCAAGTGTTGAATTCCAACCGCAGTGGGTTAAGAACCCACCCGTCGAGCCATGGCTCAGGATTTGGGCTTGTGGTGCCTAATTGGGCACCACGAGCCCATGCTCTTTGTTTCTATCAATGAACCCTTTTGGTAAAAATTCAAAAGGGTTGTCTTGGCCATGGGCATTGAAGAATTTGGCATTGGCAGCTCCATCCTTTGGACTTCTAACAACCCATAAAAATCTCTGCTCACTCATTTCTATTCCTAGTGCAAGTTCCTGGAGCTGGTCATATGAGAGAGTCCCACCACTTCCGAAGGAGATGAACAAGACAGAGTCACTTGGCTGATCATCCAACCAGCTCAAACAACCCGACCCATCACTCTCCCTACTTGAACCCATTTGTATGAGCGGTCCAATGGGGTAAACCGGCGGCTTACCCGGTTCTTCCTCTTGCAAAGCCTTTATAGCTCCTGGCTCCACGCCATTGAAGCTATTCAGTATAATACCCTCGGCCAGTTTATTCCTTTTTACGTGATGAAGAACCCATTTGTATGAATCAATCTTTCTGTTCTTCACCGGGTCCATCAGGTCCCTTCCATGAATCGGCACGCAACCCGGAAGTTGAACCGGTTCGGGCATGTCTCTGTACTTGCATGACACAGTCTCACCAAGCTTTGGCAAATAAAAGCCCAATAGCTTTGCCATAGCCGTTGATGGGAAGAAAAGAAATGGAGAGACCTTGAATTCCTTGGCAATATCAAATGCATCAGTACTAAAAAGATCAGCAACAAGAGCAACTAACCGAATCGTCGCTGTTAACTGTTTCAGAACGTTGCGAACAGAGGGAAGAGAGCGATTCACTGTGAGAAATATCTTTGTTTCAACGTTAATATCATCGGTTAGGTCATCGAAGTTAGCAGGTGGAAGAATCATGTAGTTTATGCCATTTGGAAGAGCTTCGAGAAATGAGTTCTGGGCTTGGACAGAGGTCCGTCATTTGGAATGATGAGAGTTATGGTGAAATAGTTGTGTTGAAGGATGAACCGCTTGGCGAACTCCACGATTGGGATGAGGTGACCCATCCCAGGCGAAGGTAGCATGGCTATGTGGGATGTTTGTTCCATGCTGCAACTAAGTCTTTCTTGTTTGTATGTGTATTGTGTGTGTGTGTGTGTGAGAGAGAGAGAGAGATGGCTTAAAAGTTAAAGCTGAATGAGAAAAAGGAGACACTAGACAGGGCATTGTATAGGGGTTTTGGATTTGCTTTTACGTGGGTGAGGTCGGCAATTGACAGTAACACAAAAATACTTTAAGGTTGACTTCGGTAATTTAAATCATACGATTTAGGTCAGGAGCTTAGCTCATCTATATTATTTATGGACTTCGACCTTAAACCTCAATTCTCTATGTCCACGTCTTGAGAAAAGTTGTGCAAAGAATAGCTATATCCCACCGAATCCCCTTTTTTGTAGCATCAATTACTCAGCAGGTGCAAATTTCATTGTGCAATAAGGGCGACCGTTACAAATGAGGGACGAGAATCTCGTCTCAAATCAAGCAAGACCTAGAGACAACTATAAATAGGAGGCAAAGTCCTCGAAAGTAAAAACAAGTCACTGTAGCATCATAAAAACACTCTTTGTAAACTTCACATAGTAATTAACATACTCAAGAGTAAAAGATTTTCTTGAAAATGGATTAGTCGAGCTCCTGAACTAGTGAACCAATATAAACACTTTGTATACCCACTTATCGTCAAATACCATTTCCTAGAGTTTTGGAGCTCAGACTGAACTACATATCTAACTGTTCAATACACTTTATATTCACATCACTGCTCAATTGTGTTAAGAACATCATCAAAAACATTGTTTTGTTTTATATTATGGGGTTGGTTTATTTCTAACTCAATATTTTTACAGTGCTGTTATTTTTTATATATATATTTTTTTTGTTCAACAGTGAATGTGTTCGGGTTAGTTTACGCGTACCTCAACTAATTTTATCTTTGATCCGATCAAAAATAGATCATCCATATCGAGACTAGAGTATTCATAACCCAAGAGGGTTGCCAAGAAATACTATTATTGTGTTCTAAAAAATTAATCTAATTTGTTAATGTTTGAAACCATAGAGTTCCAAAAAAAAAGTTGAAGGCGACAATAATATTATTAGATTATATCACTATCATATTATTATATTAACAAATTAAATCAATTTTTTAAGATCTCGATAATATTATTCGTTTCTATATTTAACACTCTTGGCGAAGCTTTGCCATTTTTGAGAGAAAAGATTGTGATCTTGAATACAGAAAAAACTGTAGCTATGTAAGTGTGTGCGCAGACATTGGTGATCATGTCATTATATTCGCAAGCTTTATGTCACTATATTGCAAGCACGATTAGGGTTTTCTATTAGTTAGATTAGTATTAGAGTTATTAACTAAGTTTTGAAAATAACCAATCTTATAGATGTAAATAGAATTTCTATTAAATCATATAAATCTCGTGTTCGACGTTCTTAATTACTTTGTTTTTTTATGATAGTTCACCGCATCGACACTATTGTTTAAGTAAATTGTTTTATTACATGTGTTTTTCAAGATTGTCAGTTAGAAACATGTTTTGTATACATACTTCTATAAATTAAAACCATGAACTTAAACTATATTTTCATAAAACCCGGCGATAGATTAGAAATTAAGTTGAAATTTATGACATAACAGAAATAAAATTTGAAAATCACGAAAATTTTACAATTTATTCTAAGTTTTTATTTAAACGGCACAATCCTCCACAACCACTCTGATTGTTCTTTCATCAGCAGAAAAACAAAACAAAACAAAGCAAAAACAGTATAAGTTGCCCGTCGGCCCTCCTCCGGCCTTCCATAAACATGAACTAAGCTAAATCCATTGTCACGATGTTTAATTGTGTAGTGTACATGTCTTGTTCTGTCTGCCTTTGTGTCTACTACCTCAGCTAGAAAACTCTCATCCTTTGCTTTGAAAAGCCATACAATTGAGACGTTTTGGTTTTATTGTTTGTCTGCACATTCTTTAATTATGTTGTTCTTGACCTAGTTGTTTATTTTTTATTATTATTAAATATTATTCATAAAATAGCAAGTACTGATGTAACCCCTCAAATAAGCCACCTTATTTATTAGTTTAAATACTATTAGGGGATGGGTTTAAATATTCATATAACGTCGTGTTGCTCTTTGCTTTTTCCAACTTTTTTTTTAAAGTTATGTCCATCTTCTGCGAAGGATCTGTGTCTTTAAATTAATGTTACATAGGGTAAAACACTACTATGTATTGCATGTTCATGTAAGAGCAAATAGATCATTCTATATATATGTACATATATGACATCATTGTGTACATCATTTACATATGTGTGCGTAGGGGTGACAATCGAGTCGAATCTTGCGAGTTCAAGCCAAACATGTAGAGTTCGTTTTTTTTAACCAGCCTAAAAATTGTTTAAATTCGACTCGTTTAGAAAATCAGCTGAGCCCAAAATAAGTCGAACTCGAGTCAAATCTGAATAATTCAATTATTTTACATATAAACGAATCGAACTTTGCGAGCTTTAAGCCGAGTTATTTAGGCTCGTTTTCTAAACATGTCTAAAAAATTGCTTAAGTTCAGCCCAAATACTATCCGAGTCAAACTTGAGTAACTTCGTTCAATTATTCACGCCATGCGTGTGTGTGTGTGTGTAATAATCATTGCAATTGCACTCGTTCTCAACCCATGATTGGAACATAAGTCTAGAATAAATATAATGGTACACTTTAGTTAAATTTGAATTTTATACAATTAACAAGACTCGAATTCAGCAGTACAAAATTATGTTTAGTCATTGTCAATTGTCCTTCAACTCATTCCATGCATAGTGCAATTAGGCAACTGATCTACACATTCTACAAGAACATTGAAGGTAATGCTGACGCTTGACACGTTGTAATGATATAATTTTTTTTAATGATAACCGTTTTGACTATGCATTCTTTATATTCATGAAGAACTAAAATATATGTTGAAATCTATTCCAATATGTATCATTTCATGCATAGTTCAACTAGGCAACAATCTGCAAGGGAATTGGAAGGCCAAGATGATTGTAAGGTCGTGATGATAACATAATGCTTTGACTCTAAGCAACCTTGGGATGTATATTTTAAATTTCCGCAAGTCAAATCCTCAATAATTTTGGATGGTAAGATGTCGAGAATAACGATTATGATGACGATTTTTTTGTTTTCATCCATATAACTCAGAATACATACATCTATTTTAAGGTTGGTTTTTTTGGTTTAATGGTTAAAAATATTTGATTCAATTTATGTGCATTTTGACTCCAGTTAAAAACAGATCATCTATGACGATACTAGAGTATTTTTAAGGAACAAATCTCTCATGATCTGGTCACAAAAAAATTATCAATATTCAAACACAACACATCTGAATTTACAGTTTATTTTTATTTTCATTTGAACTATACCTTTATAAAGTTATTCGGAGTTGGTTTTCACATGTAATTTGTTTTGGATTGGCATTCCCTCAATAGTAATTTTGAAAATTTAATCAAGTTCAGCCATCTCCCATTAAGTTTAATGAGTTTGATATGGTGTTAGTAAGACTCTTAAAAACTCATTATTTCCATTTGATCAATATAAAAGTAAATGATCAAATTTAAGCAAAACAGCTAAAAAAATTGAGAGGACTCTAATTGATATATTTTTAAGGGTCATTCATAACTTTTGAGGGTCATTTACAAATTTTGGGGATCATTAATTACTTTTGGAGCTGCAAGATTAATTTGGGCTGGACCAAAATGGGCCCCAAGTAAAGCCCAAAAATCAATCTACCCCACCATCGTATCAGGGGTCTGTCTATTTACACACATTGCACGCAAAAGGCCGTTGAAGAGAGAGCGAGAGCGAGGAGGAGAGAATGATATACCGGAAATGGAGTCTACTCACGGGCCCAGCTGCAATATTGGGCGGAATCGTGGCCGCAGTGGTCGTCGCCAACTACGTTCTCGTCGAAAACGTAAGTTATAAGATTTCAAACCCTAGATATCTCAATCTCTTATATTATTGTTGTATGTATATATATATATATATATACTGATTTGTATTTGTTAAGTTGTCTAGATCTTGAAATTTAGGGTTTTGTAACTCTGGACAATCTAATTAGTGAATGATTAAAGGCGCGTTTGGACGTGCAAAGTAGTTTTTTTCAATGATTGAATCATATGTATGTGGCTTCAAAATTAAAGAATCGAATTTATGCAGCAAGATAGGGCTGGTGTGGGGTATATTTCGTTTTGGGCTATCTTTATTTGATTTTAAAGGTGTCTAATTGGTTCTATATTAATGATCTAGCAGGTTCACTCTTCGATTTCCCGATTAGATGATATAGTATGTTCTGATTTTTGGAAGTTGTGCTTATTTCCAGAGTCAATAGAATTGGGTTTTCTTTAACTCTTTTATATATCTATAGGTTCTGTAATATTCCTGGATGACTCGATGGAAAGCAAAATTTTGTAGTGATGGTCAAGGATCGAACTTTTGTTTCGAAGTACCGTTTCGGTCATCTAAAAAACGGAAATGTTTCGGAAATGCAATGGAAACGTGGAAAAAATATGGAAACGCATGGAAACACAAATACAATCCATTAATCTATATCTATAAAGATAAGCTAAATAATTGATTAATTCAACATATTTATTGATTTAACATATATTTATACAATAATAAATTTAAATTGGAGGAAAAAAAAGACTTGACATGAGGCGAAAATCACTTAAATTAGTTTTAAATACTTAATTTTTATCAAATAAACACATTTTTATATAATATTAAGGTCTCATAATACACATGAAATGCTAATGAGTACAAACTTACATGGCTATATC